GCAGAACATATTTAACAAAACAGAAATAATTTAAATTCCTTCTAAATAATTGTTTGATTATTTTAATGAACACAGAGGTGGTATGAATGCAGTACATTAATTAGTCCTAAACTAAATTAAATTAAATTAAAATTAAATTACATTTTTAATTATATTCACAGGTTTGGGGTCAGTGAGATTTTTATAAGTTAAATGAATACTTTTATTCAACAGGGAAGCATTCAATTGATCAAAAGCAACAGTAAAGGCATTTTTTATTTCAAATAAATGCTGTTCTTTTGAACTTTGTATTCATCTAAGAATCCTGAGAAAAAATGTATTACAGTAAAATATTAAAGAGCACAACTGTTTTCAGCACTGATGACAATAAATGTTTCTTCAGCACCAGATCAGCATATTAGAATAATTTCTGAAGGATCATGTGACACTGAAGACTGGAGTAATGACTTCTGAAAATTAGGATTAAATTACATTTTAAAATATATTAAATTATAACACTTATCTTAAGTTGTAGTAATATTTCACAATATTCAGAATCAGAATCAGAATCAGAAGAGCTTTATTACCAAGTATGTTTACACACAAGGAATTTGACTTGACGACAGGAGCTACCAGTGTAATAGAAAGTACAAACATAGTGCAGACATACATGATAGTGCAGACATACATAGGAATAACTATAATATAATAACTATAATATTATTGTTTTTACTGTATTTTTGATTAAATAAAATCAGTGAATCTTACCTGACCACAAACTTTTGAATGGTAGTGTTTCCTATGGAAACACTGATGAAAACTATGGAAACACTAAACAAAAAAAAATATTAGTAACATATTTCATTCATTTATTTTTATTTATAAAATACCTAAATACTGATTCATACGTGTTCCTGGTTCATTCATTTGGGAATTTAATTGCACTGCTCCAATTTATGTTTTTGATTTATTAAACAGAACCAACTTATAAGTTGTTTGACTGGGAATCACACTACACTGGTCGTGCTGTATGTCTGATTCATTAAACACATCCAGCTCATAAGAGTCATTTATTCAAGTCACTAGTGGCTCACTATAGTCATGCTGTATGTTTTTGATTCATTTAAAGGAATCAGCTCCTAAGAGTCATTTTGTTCAGGAATCAAACTACACTGGTAGTGTAAGACTGTTGTAAGAATGTTGATCAACGGGATCAAAGGAATCAGTTCATAAGAGTAATTTGTTCGGGAATCAGGCTACACTGTTTGCCATGTATGATTCTGATTCACCGAAAAGAGCTGCAGATACTCATAACCACCTGTATTTTTTAATGGAAGTGATCCTTAATTATTCTTGTCGGTTCCCAACCCTAGGCACAAGACTAGAGTGAGAACAAAGCATCACGGGATTAGATAGTCCTCCAAAACTAAGCAGCCGATTCCCTCATGGAGACAGGCCTGCTTCACTTCAATAAACACCTGACAACCACACCGATTTCTCTCTCTCGCTCTCTCTCTCTCTCTCTCTCTCTCTCTCTCTCTCTCTCTCACCATCCTTTATCCCTCCATCTGTTTACTGGGAGAGTCTCTCTCCCTCCACTTTGCCCTTTCCCTCTCATTCTCACACCTGCGTGACTCACTCTCCAGTCTCGCCCTCTCACCACACTCTTTGACAGGCCACGGACAGGTTGACACTGCCTCCTGTAGCCTTACATACCATTAAGGCCGCTCTCGTCCACAGCCAGACTAGGGGGCAGTGACTCTGAAAGCCCTCTCCAGCCCGGGCTGCTTTCCTCTGGGCAGCCCTCCTGTCAGGCCTTCCTAATACCTTGTCCTGCTTGGGCAGTCAGAAGAAGACCTTCCCCCTGTCTGGAGCCTCCCCACAAGGGCCGACCAGCGGCTCATGTTGATCCATCAGCGTGACAGCAGTGTAGTCGAAGTGAAAGAGGCAAAAGGAACAGAAAAGCGGGCGGTGATGATGACTGACAGGTGGAGACTATAGAGGCTTTTCTTGCTGTGTGTTTTAAATAAGACATTGAAGCCATTCATTTCCGTTTAATTTTTGTTCAGTGAGAATTTATTAACGGTTTATTGTGTTATGCTTCATAATAGAGCTGCAAAACTACAAACAATGTTCCTTTGTCCCTTGTTCAAATGCATACTATCATGAAAAGTACACCCAGAAATTCTATATTTCATTATTGCTGAACTGAATGAAATGAAATTGACTTAAATTAAATAACTGGCATGAATTTGCAGACGTTTAGTGGCATTCAACTCCCATATTTCATTTTCTTTTTCAAATAAGTGTATCACTTTGTATTACGTGCGGACTGAAATTACTGCCACACAGCACATTAAAGAGATTCTGATTAATGGCTTCCCTTTTCCGGATTGCTGGTCATGTTTGTAATTTCATTTAAGCCTGGGCTCATTCATTACTTTCGCTAACAATTTCTCTCTTTTTTTGTAGCAAACATTCACAACTTCTTTGAATTGGCCACTCTAGAAATTAAACAAAGTCAACCGAGCTTGTAAGTCATAAATTAAAATCTGTAATGTTGTTTTTGCCAAAGAAGACATTGCGCTGTATTTCACACTGCAGGCTGTCTGGGTTTTTCTGCTTCCACAAGTTGCCTTATGAAATTCTGACTTGTGGCGTTTGTATATTGTGTGCTGTATGTAAACTAGCTATTAGCACTAAAATAACAGCCAGAAACATCTGGACTTGACTGCAACATCTGTCAGCGGGTGTTGATTATTGACCAAGCATGAATTGTGTGCTGTACATAAGGTATCGCATCTGGAGCATGTGTATGGGGATACAACTTAAATTTACTATGAGAATACTATTTCTTTTTGCCAAGGCAGGCCAATAAATATTGTAAACAGTGAAAATGGAGCCTGAAAAAAAAAAAACAGTTTTTCACTGTATTTCCTCTCAATTGCTTCAACGAATCACTTAGATTGCTTTGCAATGACAAGATGTCCCCTTCAAAGCCCTTTTTTCAGCTGTGTTTGTGTACGGCCGTGCATGTGTGTGCATAGCCAATCGTCCTAAAAGAGTAATTTATTCCTTCTGATTCACAAGCAGGTCATTCATTGCTGCATCCTTGGTCAAAACAGAGTGCAGAAAGAGGAAAGTAGCCTAATCAGAGCACAAAATGTTCTTCAGCTTAAAGGTCAAAGACTAACGATTGATTAAGATATGACTTTAAAACACTGGGTGGATAAAAATATTTTAAGATGATATTTTGAGATTGAATTTGGTTGGAGAAGGACAGTATTTACATCTTTTAAAGCAATACGCAGATTGGGTTGAATGCACTGTGTTCTTTTACATGTGAGCAGCTCATAATCCAGTGTTTTTAGTGTCTCAAAGTAGTTCAGTTTTCAGTACTGTATATGTTGTTATATGTCGGTTATAACGTGCATCTTTCCAAACGTGTAATGAGAAGTGCTTATGAACCAGGTGTTGTCAACTGTCCCTGTGATTTCCTGCCAAAATAAAAACAGAAAATTACAAGATCATTAATATTAGTATTGTAATTTTACAGTGGTACTGTAAACTAAAATTATCCTTATTGTGGATATAGTCCTAACTAAAATATTAAGCAAGTAGTAAACAAATAATAAGTAGTACTATTATTAATATCACTGACTGTTATTATTATTATTTGTTCATAGAATCATAACATTTTTGACTAAATTGTGCAGTCTTACAAAGAAGCAGAGCAAAAAAAATAGCAATTTTTTATCAGAAACATTTGATCACCCTCCACTCCCCCCAATCATGCAGCCCTACTTTTTCACCAAAAACTAGCATTGCACAATTAGTGTCAGTTGAAGGCAGGCTGTAAACTAAATTTTATTTAGTCAAGTCAAGTCACCTTTATTTATATAGCGCTTTTAACCATACAGATTGTCAAAGCAACTGTACAGCATTAATTAGGAAAACAGTGCGCCTATAATGCAAAATGACAACAGTAAAAACTCAATTTTCAGTTAAAGTCAGTTCATCATTGAATTCAGTGATGTCATCATCCAGCTCAGTTCAGTTTAAATATCTGTGCAATCAAGTCGATGATATCGCTGGAAATTAAGTGTCCCAACTAAGCAAGCCAGAGGCGACAGTGGCAAGGAACCAAAACTCCATCGGTGACAGAATGGAGAAAAAACCTTGCAGAAACCAGGCTCAGTCGGAGGGCCAGTTCTCCTCTGGCCAGACGAAACCAGCAGTTAATTTCCAGGCTGCAGCAAAGTCACATTGTGCAGAGGACTCAACTGGTTCCTGTGGTCTTGTCCTGTCTAGGAGTCAAGGTCTTTACTGGGGATCTGTCTCTGGGGCTCATCTAGTTGTCCTGATCTCCGCTGACATTCAGGGCTGTACAGGTCCTCTCTAAGTGCTGATCCACCATCTGGGCTGGATACGTTACTAGATCCGGGTGACTGCAGTGACCATTTGATCTGGATACAGACTGGATCTGGTGGCTACGGTGACCTCAGAATAAGAAAGAAACAGACTAATATTAGCATAGATGCCATTCTTCTAACGATGTAGCAAGTACATCGGGTGTTATGGGAAGTGTTCCCGGTTCCGGTTGACCTAATTAATGCAGCTTAAAAATCCTTTAATGGATTTGAATATTAGAAATGTGTTAGTGTGTAAGCCAGGTTAAAGAGATTGGTCTTTAATCTAGATTTTACAATCAGGGCCGTTATTCAGAAAATGAAGGAAAACAGTGTTTAAATCGGTTATGTGTTAAATATAAATGGATTGGATTCATGTTTGGTTCGCAAATATTGTGTTTTGGCTGAAAATATAGTTCCCAGAACAGTGATATGGTGCTATATATAATGGGTCATACGTTCACCCTCACAGAAAAAGAGGGCCTATCTGTGTCTATTTTGATTTAAGTCCACTTCTTCATATCAGAGTGTCTCATCAGTCTCCATATTACTTTCTGTCTGTGGTGAAATCGATGTTTCTGCTGGAGGCTTTGCTATTGAGGTTATGATAGCATGCCACTGCCAGTGCTGTCTACCAGAAACAGTGAGGGAGATATCACAGAGGATACAAGCAGTTCCTGCTCTGGAAATAACTTTGGCACTTCTTTCATGATGCAATAGATTTGAGGAAAGAGCTGAAAAAGTTGAACTTTAGTCCAGTTCTCTGAAACAATAATCAGATGTCTGTTAGGTAAAGTCAGGTGGTCATTAAAGTTTTCATATTCACTTGTTACTTTCAATGTCATTTTCCATCAAAATAACTCTACAAAAATTGTAAACCTGATTTCTATTTTTATGGTTTGTAAGGATACTGAAATGTAAAATTTAAAACAGAATGTAATGTTTCTGTGCAAATAGAGCACATTTTGTAGTTTTATAGCAGGTAAGTGCTGAATAACCAACAATTGTTCTTTGGGGTCCACAGTTTAATCAAAGTCCCTTTAAGGCACGTCAGTTCACTTGTCTGCTATCTTGGTAATGCTTCTGGGCAGCTATTTTCTATGCAGACAATAGTCATACAAGTACATCTCACCTCTATTTGAATGGAGAAAGAATTACATCTATTTAATGTGTTTGTCAAGATTACATTTCACAATAAATCCGCAATAAAATCTGACAGCAGTGGTAATCATAAATTGTGCTGATTTAACTGATCAGGTTAATGTGGATGTGCTTTCTACAGTAAACAATATGGTTGCAAATCAGATTTTTTAATGTATTGCACAGTTATATTGTACAATTACTTGTCCATTCTCATTACCAGCATTTATACATTTACAGTTTACCTTTGCCATCATCTCATTTTAGAGGATAACTTGAGATAAACTCAAATTAATCTTTGAAACACTGATAATTGAATTACACTGTTAAATCAAATCTTTAGCAGATCTAAAAAAATGAATATTTCATATTTTACATTATAATGTGTTGATTAATCTGTTCCATTAGGTTTTTTTTTTTTTTTTTAATTCATTTAGACAAAATGGTATATCATTTTAATATCAGCCATTGGGTATCATCCATAACATGAAAATAATGATCAGATTCTTGGTATCAGTTGGAATTGTAATATTGATGCATCTGTGTTCTTTTCTTCTTTTAATATGCACACTTACACAAAAAAGGTAAAACAGCTGTCAGCTGTCTTGCTACCCAAGGTTTTTTATAAAAAAAAAAAACTAAAACTGAAAAAAAAAATATATATAAATAAATAAATAAAAGCTAAAATTAAACTCACATGCTAACTGAAATAAAAAAAAAAACTAAGTGATACTGATAAACAAAAATAAAAAATAAAATTAATTTGAAAAAAAAAGAAAAAAAAATTTGAATCTAAATGAATAATTTAAACTTGAAAGCTAAATTAAAATAAAAAATAAATTACTACTCAAAACTATAATAACCTTGGTGCCCCCCTTCGAAAATGTGCTATGTAACTTTAGGGTACTAATATGCATTCATGCAATACAAAGGTGTACCTTTTGAAAGGCACAGCTTTTGACAGCCTTTATACCTTTTTCCTGAGTGTAGAGACCCACAAGTAACTATTCCAGTTAGTTCTGACATCTCTTTTCTTTGCTGTGTCAGTTACAGACTGTCGTATCCTGGAGAATCTTCAGCGCTACGCCTCCCCTACTTACCTGCCTGTCAACTACCAGCTCCTCAACACAGAGTCCTCCTTTTTTCTTAAGGAAGCCACCCAGGACTTCATGCGCAACTCTAGTTTCCTCTCCAGAACAGAACTGTTCTTCATCCACCAGGCCAGGAGACCTCCCACCATCAACGCCACATATGGGACCCTTGCAGTGGAAGAGCCTATTCCTTTGGACCTCCTTCAGATGCCTGGCTCCTTTGTGGCTTCTTCAGCCCTCTTCACCTTCAACTGGAAAGTACAAACCTTTGTTCTCAACGAAAGGATTTACCTGAACAAACCCAAGGTTCAGGTCTTGTTCTACATCGCTGGGAGGGACTGGGACGACTATAGCGCGGTGGACAAACTCCCCTGTGTACGGATGTTCGCCTTCCACGAAACCCAGGAGGTCCGTGGGAGCTGCAGGTTGCGAGGGGACATGGGCGTCTGCGTTGCAGAGCTCGAGCCTCTTCCTGGGTGGTTTGCATCTCCTAGCATTGTCCCCGGACGCCAGAGGGGTCCGGATATGTCTGAAGGAACGCCTGTAGAGCTGTACTACAGCCTTCGGGCCGCAGAAGTGGGAGCTTGTCTTTCCGAGGAGTTAGGGTTCAAGAGCGCCGCTCACTCGGATCAAGAGGGATTGTTTGGGTCAGCGACCTCTACACCCATGAGGCACATCGGGAGTGTAAGATTATTCCAGAATCCATCTGCTCCGGAATTATCAGAGCAACGTTTGGATGGGAATTTTGCAGTGTTGGTACCATCCGCGCCAGTTCGGCAAAGGGATACCGTGTCAGCATATGTTGCAGCTTCACCGTACTCACCTGTGGAGATGTTCACTCTCAGGTAAGAGATCTTTATATGCAAGATGTACATCCGCAAGGAAACTCTGCTGCGTTAGCAGATAACTATTCACATGAGACCTTTACCAGGGGACTTCATGGCTGTGTTACAAACACTTATAAAAATAAATTTTCCAAGAGGGAATTTTCACAGAAGAACTATTTTGTTCACATTTCAGTGAACAGTTCTTAAAAGAACCATTTTCTTAGTGTTAAAAAACTAATCTAAGATAATCTAAAGAAACTTTTGTGTAATGAAAAGGTTCCATTTATATTAAAGGTTGTTCATGCAACCATAGATGCCAATAAAGAACCTTTATTTTTAAGAGTGTAGTGAAGGTTTCTGTAATGAATGCCATAGAAAGCTTCACTATTGATGTCATGCCATTTTATGAGCAAAGTTAAAAGCAAAGTTAAAAGCAATTTGCTTTGCGGCTTCACCTATTCATTAAAGCCATTTGCTTTGTTTTTTTTATTCTGTTATTTTAATTTGAACTAATCATATTTTGCCCAGTTATCAGTCGTCTTTCCTCTTGGATCTCCATAATTTGGTCACATGTTTTCCTTGGCATAATCATTTGGCTTTTGAAATGGTTGTGATTAATTCCGGCTGGTGTGTCTGAGGTGAATTTTCACTTCATGGTTCCTTTACTTAATTTAACTATGCTTTTTGTTTACCATTGCAGAGAGAAATACATCTTTATTTTCAAGTGAAAACATCCAGCCGCACTGAATCTGTGGGTACAAATTAGAATTTGCAGATGCGGCTAAGTGATTTGGGTAATTAACACACAATGCAAATGAGGATGTCATCAATTAGAATGCGCCTCCATTAGCGTAATGACTGCAAGCTCGTCCGATTGTAATCACAGTGGGCGAGAACGTTGATAAACCATATGAGACCCAACCCGACAAGAGGTCAAGCCAATTTGTCAACCTTGCATGTGCACGTAAGCTAAGAAGCACTAGCAGAGATAAGAGTTGAAGAAAATCAGCTAGTATATGGATGTCAGCTGGGGTTTTTTTGCTGACTTCATGGCTAAACTTGGCTAAAATAGTGAAAGGGCAAATCAGAGGTTGTTTTTTTTTGCGGGTTGTACATGTATTCATGCTGGTTTTCACGTGGAAGCTTGTGTTAATACTTGGTTTGTCCAAAGATGTGTTTCGTGATCAGCAACCACTCTGCTAAGGTGTGCTGATAGGATGAGACCTGTATTTATGAGTGTGTGGTTACTGTACTGCAATCACTGGAAAAACGATTCATGAATAAAATATTTTGTGGTTGTGTAGAAAAGGCCGTATGACTGGCAAAATCATACTTTAATTTTCTCAAGTATAACATTATCATCTGATGAATTATTGATGTACAGCTTTAAATTAAGTCAGTATTAAATAGTCTACAGAAGATCATTAAAGGAACTTGAAAGAAACAAATGCTGTAATTCGGAGTATTAATGATCCATTAAATGTTTTTCATGAGCTGCTGAGTATGAATGTCTCAATCGAGCCATGACATCATGACATCTTTTTTCATTATGTTTTTTTTTTTTACAAGAGTGTGAAAAGAGAGAGAGGGTCATATATCTCTTCTGCTGGATGAAAATTAGAAACAGATATATATTTTGATTTATTTTGTGTTGCATATCTGTTGCTGCTTATTCTACTTTACAGTTAGATTTTTTCTAATTAGTTTAAAATTTAGTATATTTTCTAAAATCAGTTTGGCTTATTTACATATTGCATATTGCTTTAGCAGGCACTCTGCATTAAGTAAGATTTTATGATTAATTACTGTATGTCTGTATTACTGTATGGTTGGATGCTTTTTTTCTACTTTTTCACTCTTTTTCTGGTTATTTTTTTTAGATTTTCTCAGCAGTTAAAAAAAAAAAGAGCAAAAGCTTCCAAATCTGGTTATAATCATTTTTACTTTAGGCTGTGTGGAAAGCGTCCCATAGAAGTCGAGCCTGTGAAACATCCACCGCCTAACTCCAAAATAAGCAATCAGCCCATCCCCGAGTAAACAATCTTATTCCATATGGAAGAGGGCTAATCTTCAGTAACTCCAAATCTACACACACATTTGTTTTTCCGTCATAATGGGGAATTTATATTGACTTTCGGTCCACAATGTAGGCAAAAACTGACCCACACACATTCTCCGAGTGGATGAAGATAAAAAAAGCAATTTTCTTGTTATTATTTATTTCTCTTCTCATGCATAATCCTTTTAGTTCAGTGGAGGTGTCATTGTGTATTGCTTGTTCCTATTCAAAAGGTGTCCAGTTTTAAAATAATTTTGGCAGAAATGCAGGTCAGAAAAAAAAGCATTAGCTTTTAAAAAATGAAAGAATATAATCTAATACCACTGCAGAGTTCAATGCACCAACTACTGTAAGTACATAATTAGTTGAAGCCTGCAACTGTATGGCTTGGAATCTATGAGTCATACAGTTTTCAGAAATGGTGCTTTTATGCTGCTATTGTTGCCATCGCGCTAAATAGCTCTACAGTGATTGCTGCATATAATCATTATGGCTGTCAATGTGTGTTAGCTTACTATGACGTGAACAAATGTTAACCTCACCCACATCAGCTGAATGATATTTCAGTATACTGTATTTGTTGTGATATGTGCCTGGTTGTTCTAGTTATTGAGATTTGTTGCTGAATATCTGCATTTAGTGTGAAATAATGCTGAATATTATCAATGAAACTACGGAGATTCAGTGTTTCTGACCTCTGATATTGTAATTGATTCTTGTTGCTGTTAACTCTACTGTTCAAAGGTTTGGGATGAGTTTTTTTTTTTTTTTTTTAAAAGAAATTAATATTTTTTTTTAGCAAGGATGCATTTAATTGATCAAAAGTGACAGTTAAGACATTTACATTGTTACAAAAAAAAGAAGGGAAGAAAAAGAAAATAGTATGGTCCACTGGAGTCCTCTTCCACTCCTCCATGACGACATCACGGAGCTGGTGGATGTTAGAGACCTTGCGCTCCTCCACAGATGCTCAATTACCAAAAAAGGTGATTGAAGCTGCCTTAAAACTGTGCATGCATGTAATATATTTTATACGAGTCACATTTAAGAACATGTCTCTGAAATGGTTTTCAAAACTGTCCTGGAGCAGCCCAGCACTGTCTCACTCATCTAACACACCCAATTTAACTCATTTAGCTCATTAATAGAGACTTTAAGACCTGAAGTGGGTCAGAAAAGGTAAAAAGAGTTGAGAGAAAATATGATGCGT